TGCATATGAAAGACAGGGAAGTTTGGTGTTGTTAGAAAGGTTCAATTAACTAAAGGAAGTATACTTGTTTTATACATGTTTTATTTCTGAGTACAATTTTCTAGTTCTTTGGAGGTTTTGAGGTTTGAACTCAGGGCCTCATACTTGCTAGGCAAATCCTCTACTGCTAAGCCATGCCTCTATTCTGTCTTTGAGATAGGGTCTTGCTTCCTTCCCAGGTTGTGCCTGTATAGCAATCTGCTTATCTTATGTTTCATTTGGTAGCTAGGATGACAGGTGCATGCCACCATGTCCAGCTTCTTCCACTGAGACTGTCTCATAGACTTTTCTGCCCAGGGCTGGCATGAAATTGTGATCTCCCTGATCTCAGCCTCTACAAAGGTAGGATGCCAGGTACACACCACTGCATTCAACTATGGGCCGAAAAGAAGTCTCTTGAGTTTTTCTGTTGGGGTCAGTCTCAAACAGTAATTTTTAGCCTTTCAAGTAGCTAGGGTTACTGACATGAGCCACCAGGACCCTGCTCTTAGTACATTTTTCAGAACAGCTACACATACAATTAGTTTATTTTTCTGGCCTGAGGGAATCTGTGGAGATAAAACTAACAGTATACAAAAATCTTAAAATATAGTAAACATAACTACAGCATGATTATGACTATATTAGAGGCTTTTGACCCTCAATATATGCCACTGGTTATTTATTTCACATATAGATTTTTATCATTTTGTTAAAATGTAATTCTTAAGAAACTGCTTTAAATCTAAATATAGTTAAATATCCTTTATTAAAAATGTTGGGAAACAGAAGTGTTCCACATTTCAGATTTTGGAATATATATATATATATATATATATATATAAAAATGAGACATCTCAGGATCCAGGTCTAACCTTAAAACCCATGTTTCATACACATCATATACATACAGCCTAAAAGTACAATACTAAACATTTTTTAATGTATGAAACAAGGTTTGAATACACTGAGCCATCAGACCTGTGGTATCAAGTTGGTACTCAAATGTGCTGGATTTTGTAGAATTTTGGATTTTAGACTTTTAGATGAAAGATTCTACACCTATAATGTCTGTACATGCCTGCTTGTATTACTTTATCTTTTTGAAAGGGAGGAAGGGTGCTGTCCCATCCAGTCTCCCACTACTTTTGTGAGAGTGAAACTAAGAGATATGGAAGTTTTCTATAATCTATGTCATAAATGTGCAAATAATCATCACTTTTATTATTATAAAAAACAACTACTTTCCCCTATGAACGACTTTTCAAATGCTATGGAAATATGTATATTAAAAAAAACAATTTGACAAGTCTATCATGAATTAATAGACACTGGTGGCAATATTTTAAAAAGACTGGCCTGAAACATCACACATTAATTATCACCTTGGTGGAGAATCATCCTGCTTTTTAAATCCAGGAGGAAGGGCTGGTCCAAAAAATCCTTCTTCATCATCATCATCATCATCCTGGTTTCTCCTTTGTTTTCTGGAAAAATAACAGTGTAACCTTATTTTGAGAAAATTTTCACAGAGAGAGAGAGAGAAGTTTGAACTTAAGGCCTCAAACTTGTTCTACTTGCTTGCTTGGCTGGTATTCTACCACACTGCCCACGCTACTTTTGGATGGCTATTTTGGAGATTATGTCTCATGGACTATTCTGCCCTGGCAGGCCTCAAATTATGATCTTTCAGATCTCAACCTCCTGAGTAGTTAGGATTAAAGGTGAGCCACTGATTCCTGGTGGAAAATTTTAATTTCTAAAGAAATAAATAACTAATAAATTACACATCTAGTATTAAATAGAAAAGCCTCTAAAAAAGAGTCTACGGCTAGAATGTTTAGAACATTTACTCATCTGAATAATACCTTAGGGGAAAAAGTCCCATATATAAGAATTTTACTAGGCTGAGGATGTAACTTAGAGGTAAGATTACTTTTCTACCATGTATAATCCTCACCATCATAAAAAATTACTGAAATTCTAGATATCTCGACAGCTATATATCACTATAATAAACTCCTCTGTTTATGATCAAATTATATATGAGATTATTTTTTCCCATGTTGTAGAAATCTAAATCCATATTCCTTTACAAGCTATGTGTTCTAGCCAACTTATATTTTTGATTTATCATATAACTTAAAAGACTTACTTTGCAGTTGGCCCACTGTCGTCTTCTTCAGATTCTTGATTTCTTTCTTCAGATAAAGAACTGCTGTCCTCATCGCTGTCTGATGAATCTGAACTACTGCTTTTATAATTAGGGGGCAGAGCTGGTCCTGCAACTGAAGATTTGTTGCATGTAACATAAGCAGCCACAACTGTTTCACTGAACCTTCCTCACTAAGTTTTCACTTTCTTTCCTGAAAGTCACAGCTGGCTATGGATCGTTTTTTATGGACTTTCATAAGATTTGGTCCTGTTTCATGCACAGTGGTTTTATCCTTTCCAACTCCAGGAATGTAATCACTTTATCTTATAATCCTCTCCCCCTTTTTGTACTGATACTGGGGCCTGGTTCTACCCCGTAGGTATTTTACTAAGGCTGGTGCTCTATCATTTGAGCCATAGCTCTACTTCTAGCCTTTTGGTGATTAGTTGATAAGAGTCTCATGGATTAACTTGCCTGGGCTGAGTTTGAACAGAGATCCTTAGATCTCAACCTTTTGAGTAGCTAGGATTACAAGTGTGAGCCACCAGCACCTGGCATTATACCATTTTTTAATAAAATTAAAAAAAACTTCGTTAATGCCCACACTTAAAACCATAAAAAAATAACATAATTTCTCTGGTAACATCAAGTTATTGTACCTGCCAAAATTGTACCACGAATATTAGGGAAAATATACAGTTCTTATACATACTAAGAACTTGGCTAAATAGACAGGACTTCAAACCCCGGGGTATCTAACATAAAACATGTATTATAATGCAAAGAATCACTTTTTTTTTTTTTTTGCCAGTTTTGGGGCTTGAACTCAGGGCCTGGGCACTGTCCCTGAGCCTCTCTGTGTTCAAGGATAGCACTCTACCATTTGAGCCACAGCACCACTTCTGACTTTTTCTGAGTTGTTTATTGGAGACAATAGTCTCATGGACTTCAAACTAGTTGGCTTCAAACTATGATCCTCAGATCTCAGCTACCTAAATAGCTAGGATTACAGGCATGAGCCACACATCACTTTTTATAACAGCCAAAAATAGAAACTACTAAAATGCCAGTCAACAGTAAAATGAGTAAATGAATTGCAGAATTGGTCACTCAATGGAATTTACCCACACTTTTCTTCAATCTTAAGTTGAATAGAAATTTCTTTGCTAAAATAAAAAGACCTTTTAAAATGGCTCTATCAGAAATGAAAGCTGGAAGGAAACCTGTAGTAAAAACATCATATCGAGGTAAAAAAAAAAGCAAAATTTGATTCATAAATGTTTGGGATCTCCCCTTGGGATCCCCCCCCCCCAATATGGGTCCTGGGGCTTGAACTCAGGGCATGGACTCTAGCCCTGAATATTTTTTTGCTCAAGGCTAGCGCTTTACCATTTGAGGCACAGTTCTACTTCTGGCTTTTGGGTAGTTAAGTGGAGATTAGGAGTCTCATGGACTTTCCTGCCCAAGCTGGCTTTGTAATCTTGATCCTCAGATCTCAGGCTCTGAAGTAGCTAGGATTACAGGCGAGAGTCACTGGCACACAGCGGGATATTCTTTTCTTCTTTTTTTTGATCGGTCATTGGGGGGGGGGGGCTGAACTCTGGGCCTGGGCGCTGTCTCTCAGCTCTTCAGCTGAAGGCTAGGGCCCTACAACTTGAGCCACAGTGCCACTTCCGGTTTTTGTTTTTCTGCTTATGTAGTGCTGAGGAATCAAACCCCAGGGCCTCATGCAAGCGAGGCAAGCACTCTACCACTGAGCCAACTTAATGTCACCCCCAGTATACAAGTGAGAACAAACTTGCTGGAAGCACCCGAGAGTGCCCGTTATACTTTAAGAAACAAGACCATAAGGAAATAGTGAAGATGCAAACATCAACAAATTATTTAGATACAGTGGATTACAGAGAGAAAAACGCTGAGGATAAAGAGGAAGGCACAAAAACGTTTGGGAGAGTTTCAGGATTGGTTGGAGTTTGTAGATTGGTTTACCTAAGAATCCAATCAGAGACCAAAGGGAGCTTAGCGTTGGTGAAGTGTGCGGACACTTTTGCTTTGGTGCTAGGCGGTGCGTCAGGCTAGGAAGGCAGGCCTAGGGCTGGAGGACATGGGGTTTTCTGCACTGATCTAGTAGGCGAGTGGCAACCTGGGACAGAGAAGAGGGAAATGGCTTCGTTCTATTTTGAGCTTCACCAATAAGGGTGTGATCTGTGACTCGCCCCCAGCTTCAAGGTGCCAATTTGTATCATGAGGATAACACCGTTCTCCTTATAAAGTTGCTTGGGAGGATTAGATGACTGAATACGTTTTGATCAATTAGCAGGGTATCCAGCTTCTGTTCAGTGCTGTGGTGTTGCTGTTGTTGTTTTTCCCTCAAGCTGAAGCAGTTCGCGAGGAGCCTCTCCGCCCCCCCGCCCCCGCCCGCTACGGCCAGGGATGGAGAGTTGGCTCTGGTCGGGGTGCACTGGAACCCCACTCCGCCGCCCTCGGATGCCCAGACTGCCTCCAGGGACAGGGTCGGGCTCAACACGCGGCCGCTTACCGGGGCTCGGGTCTCGCTCCTCGTCCTCCGAGGTCCCGCTGGCCTTGAAGCCAGGGGGCAGCGCTGGTCCGATCAGGTCCCTCGCCATCCGCGGTGGCGGACAAGGTTCGGGCACACAAGTTCAGCCGCGCACGTCAAATCCTGCTAAAAGGCAGTCCGCTAACGCGGCGAATGTCGGAAGTTTTTCCGGCGCCGACCGATGACGTTGCAGCCTGTGGTTGGTGGAGACGGTGTAATTAGCATAGCGGAGGTGACGTTTCAAGCCTGTTCCACCGCCGCACGCTGGGATCCCAGGCTCGGGGGTGGCATGGCCGAGCCTGCTAGCGGTTTCGTGCCTTCAGCCGGGTGGCTTCCAGCCCCGGAGATGAACCCTACCGTGGGGCCGCTGAGAAACACCGCCTCGCCACAGGGCAGCTGGGCGCTCTGGGCGATGCTGCCGCCACCGCCACCTCCCTTGTCGCCACCCGTGGACGGGTCGAAGCCTTCCTCGGAGGCGCAGCTCGCCGGGGACACGCAGCCTCTCTCCGGGGCGCCGCCCCCCTTTGACGCCCACATTCTTCCCGGGGCTCAGCCTCCCTTCGATGCCAAGTACCCCCTGGACTCTCAGCCTCAGCTCAGCGGCCAGCCTTCCTGGGATTTCCGGGCTTCGACATCCTGGTACTGGAGACAGTCTCCCGATGGTTTTCCCTGGCATCAGAACGCACACAACTTTCCAGGTAGGCCGGTATCCCTCTGATCGTTCTTCCCTTTACCTTTTCTCTCTCTTCTCTCTCCCCTGCCTCTCCACTCTGTGCTCTGTTCTTGGTGTTTGGTAATGTCTTAAAATATGTCCGACTGGAGTTGGCTAGTAGGTTCATTCCGTTTGGCTATTATTTTTAAATTTCAGCTATGTTCCGGAAACGTCAAATAAAACACCTTTTTTTTTTTCTTCTTAAATGCCTGTCTTGGGGCTTCAACTTTAGGCCTGGGCGCTGTTCCTTAGCTTCTCTCGCTTAAGGAGGCTGCCTTGCCACTTGAGCCACAGCTCCACATCCCGCTTTTTCTTTTAGGTTGGTTAATTGGCTGGCTTGCAACCTCGATCCTCAGCCTCTGAAGCCAGGATTGCAGGCATGAGCCTTATTCTTGTGAATAATACTTATCTTTGTGGAACTTAACATCTTCCGAGAGTGGGAAGACAATTAGGCAAATAAAAGTATGTGTTTGAAGGTGCATGTCGGACATAGTAGGGCATGTAATCCTAGCTGTACTCCTCACACACTGCAGGCTGAAACAGGAGTTCAGCGGCATTGTAGGGGTACATAGCAAGATCCTGCCTTAAAACAAAACGAAAAAAAAAAAAACAAGACCAAAAAAGGAGGGTAATGAATTCTGTGAAGAGATAAAGGAAAAACGAGTGCAATTTTGAATATTATTGTCACTTACAAGGAAAGTGACATATGAGTATAGACTTCAAGAAGTGAGAGATTAGAACTGTAAGCAGGGAAACAGGCCAAAAGAAGTTCCAGTGAAAAGGCTGTAAGTCAGAATAGAAACTAGAGTGGCTAGACCAATACTGGCCCTGGGGTCCAGCGCAGAAGATTGAGGGAGAGGACAGATGGGTAGGTAGTTCCTTGTAGATGATGGGACTTTGATTTGTATTGCCATTTGCGTAGTCCAGGGGAGTTCTACCCATTTGATTCATGTTTTTAGCAGGGGTGGAAAACCTTTTAATTCCTCACCCCTCTCAGGCCCACGAAATCACTTGATATGTGAAGGGGCAGGCACATTTCCTTGTAGATGACTGCCAGAGAGCTGTCTGCTTGTATTGATCATTTAGTATGGCTTGTAATGATGTAAATATTCAAGTGGATTTGGGCAGCAAAAAGGCTTCCCCACCCCTGTAAAAGATTACTCTGGCAGCTGATGAAACTTGAAGGAAAGTGAGACTAGTTAGGATGCTATTGGAATTGTTAGTGAGAGATACTAGTGACTTAAAATCAAGAGTGTATGTGTAGGGTGACATAGTCAAAAAGCCTGGGATGTGAGGTGTGAGATAAAGAGGAGACATGGGTAACAAAGGTTGTTTTTTGTTGTTGTTGTTGTTGTTGTTAGTTTTTTTCCCCAAATAGCTAGAAGGATAGAGTTGTAGATAGGGAAGAATGTGAATGGAGCAGATTTGGAAGACCAAGATTGAGGTTGGAATATGTTTAGATCAAGTAGAGATTCTGAATAGGCTGTTAGCCATTTGTTAGCTATTAATCTATACTTTCAGATGGAAATTTGTTAGTAGAGTTGTAAATTTGGGTCTGCTGGCATTTAGATTGTACTTTAAGCCATGAAGCTTTTGGGATATATATTTATCCAACTATATGAGATCCAGTTTCCATTCAGTTGAATCCATACAACTAGTACTTACTGCTGGATGTTAGGAATGCTAATTTGACTAAGTCAGATGAGATAGATTCTCTAAGTCATAGTACAGTGTGATGGATAATAAAGGCATTTCAAAAGCAATTTAGAGTTTAGAGGAGGTTGGCAAAAGATTTTGAAGGAAGTGTCTTGAGAGTAGTGTAGAATTTGAAAAGGGATACTTACATAGCTAGAGATAAGTTTTGGAGACTGCAGAGTTCTAGTGTGACTGAAGCAATGTATATGGAAGATGTGGGGGAAAGGCTGGGTAAGAACTGAAATCTCGTAAGAGAACTCTAGGAGCCATTTGTAGATACTGGCTCTGGGCTATGACAGGACTGCAGAATTATTTTTGTGGTGTAGGTATGCAGGATCTGTTGGAAGGGTTTAGGGATTCAAGACAATTCAGGAGAGTGGCACGGGAATGTAAGATGAAAGATTAGGGTTTCTGAGCAGGATAATAGCTATAACAATAGAAAGACGTGGTGGGATTTGAGATGTATTTTACATGGTTCTCTTTTCCTAGTATGAAAGGGAGGATCAGGATTAGAGGATTTACTGATAACATTCCTACTAGTTGAAATAGCTGAAATAATCTAATTAGGTTATATTGTTCATTCTTTTACGTAAGCATCAATGGTCACAAAGTCTCACTTGTATTACTTTATTTGAAAAATGCTTAAGGTAGTAATTGATGCTAGGTTTTTTGTTTTGTTTTTGTTGCTCATGGGGCTTGAACTCAGACCTGGGCACTGTCCATGAACTCTTGCTCAAGGCTAGTGCTCTACCACTTGAATCATAGCACTACTTCTGGTTCTCCAGTAGTTAATTGGTAATGAGAGTCTCGTGGACTTTTCTGCCCAAGCTGACTTCAAACAACGAGCTATGGTCAGCACTCAGATCTCAGCCTCCTGAGTAGGTAGGATCATGGGTGTGAATCACCAGTGCTAGTTTGTTTGTTTGTTTTTTAACCATTCTTCCTAAAGGGGGTAGTGTACCAATGCTTTTACTCCAGTATCTATGCTATGTCAGAGTAAATACAATTTTATATTATTGTAAATTGCAACCTTTAATGGATTTCTCTTTGTTTTTTAGTTAAGAATTCTTATTTTCCACGAAAATATGGTACCAAATTTACGGACTTCAATTTTCCTCCTAATAAAAAACAGAAAAAAAAGGTATTTGTAAACTATTGTTAAGCATGAACTTTGGTTCTCATATTATTGTGTCATATTTTTTAAGTGTCTTTGTTAGTGAGATATTGGAACTCTACTATAGTTGGATTTAAAATAAATTTTTTGTTATTATAAAGGTGATATACAGCGGAGTTACAGTTACATCAGTATAATAAGATTTTTTAAGGGTCTTAGCTAGAAAAGAAAAACTTAAGGACTGGGAAGGTGGCTCAGTGGTAGAGCACTTGCCTTGCATGCATGAGGCCCTGGGTTCGATTCCTCAGCACCACATAAGCAAAAAGAAAAAAAGCCAGAAGTGGCGCTGTGGCTCAAGTGGTAGAGCACTAGCCTTGAGCTGAAGAGCTGAGGGACAGTGCCCAGGCCTAGAGTTCAGGCCCCATGACTGGACTCAAAAAAAAAAAAAGAAAGAAAAACTTAAAATCATTTTGAGCAATTGGAAAAAAGAAAACATTAGCTGTTTCAGTAAGAATCAGGAATAAAAATAGTTGAGAACTATGATTACAAATAAATATAAATCTTATTAAATTCTGATAAGTTTTTAAAATCAGTGGCACATTGGGAGGTGAGGGATGAGATTCTGGAAGGTAGAAGTCTAAGTGTTTTCTTAATACAGCATGGACTTAGATCAAACTATAATGACATAGACCATTTATTTTCCATTATTGTTTTTTGCTTTTTAACATAGAAGGGTCTTATAGGAACATATATCTCTGTAGCAAAAAACAAAAAGCAATTTTTCTGTTTCTTTTTTTGTATTAAATTCAGGTAAAATTAAATGTAGTGTTTCTACTTGAAATAGTTTATATTTAGTCTTATTGTGCACAAAAAGTGAAATTCAGACTTTTTTGTATTACTGTTATGTTTGTTGTTTATCTTAATTGATTGCTATCAGTACTTTTTTAATAGAATTTGTCATGTTTGTGAAAATTTTTGTTTGTTTGTTTTTGTGTGTGTTGTTCCTGGGGCTTGAACTCAGGGCCTTGGCACTATCCTTAATCTTTTTTGCTCTGGGTTAGTGCACTACCTCCTGAACCCAGGGGTCTACTACTTCTTTTTTATTGGTTAATTGGAGATAAGAGTCTGATGGCCTACGCAGGCTTTAAACCTCAGTGCTCAGATCTCAACTTCTTGAATAGCTAGGATTACAGGCATGAGCCACTGGGGCCTGGCATGAAAGTTTTTTGTTTTTGTTTGTTTTTAATGTTGAATACTCTTGATTATGCTTCACAAATCTAAAACTGTTTAAATAGACTGCCTTTATTCAAGTTTCGCTTATATACCTAATCTTTCAAATTTGAAGTGTACAGTATACATAATATTATTAGTTTAGAATTAGTTGAATGCATAGAGTTGATGTTCTTCATTTTGACATGAAAAGTTGAATAGCTTGAAAAACAATTTATATTAATGATTGGTATATATGTAGCTTATTAACAATCTTTATATTAAAAAGTAAGAAACCACTTTTTATATAGTATGTAGTCTAGTAATAATTTGTTTTATGTTTATGAAAATAGCAAATTGTGAATTTTTAAGAAAATAATTTTATTTATACCTGGTTTGTGCTGTTACTTTGCCAAAAATAAACAGAATCCATCTTTTAAAAAAAACAGAACCAGTTATTTATTCCAAAGATCCTAATACACTGGGGGTTGGATTAAAAAATATATATATACATATTGTTGTAAAGGTGATATACAGAGGATTACCATTACATAAGTCAGGTAATGATTATATTTCGCTTTGAATTATGTCATCCTTTCCCTCTCTCTCTCCATTTTTGCCTCCCATCCCCACCCACAAGTTGTATCGTTCATTTTCCACATAGTGTCTAGTGAGTACCACTATTGTATTCACTCTTTGTCCCATCTTTTCTGTGCCTCCCCTTAACTTCCCAAGGAAAAATAAACAAGCAAACAAAAGGAAAAGACAACAAAAACAGCAGCAGCAACAAAAATCTTGGAAATATAATTAGAAGTTTCTTCTACATATAAGGGGTATATGAAAATAAAATGTGTTTCTAGAAGGAGAGTTATGTTTTTATTGTTGACCAAAGTTTTTACCAAGAGTCTAATCCTTGTTTGTTTTTCTTAGCAGAAAAGAAAGGAACCAGTTTTTCACTTTTTTTGTGATACTTGTGATCGTGGTTTTAAAAATCAAGAAAAGTATGATACCCACATGTCTGAACATACAAAAGTAGGTATTCTTGCTTCTCTTGAAATTCTCAGCTTTTCCTTACAGGTTTATAGTTTTCATAGAAATATTTGATGATTTGACCAATGGGAACAAGCCTGGGATTTGGATTTTGAGGGTGGGGACCCACTGCTCTTGGGAAAAGTAAGATGGCAGCAAAAAAGAACAGTCTGGCAGCTCTTTGTATGTGTGCACCTCTGCTGCTTGGTAAGAGTGTTACCTCTCTTCTCATACTCTCTGCCTCTTTGTGAGTTCATTCCCTGTAAGGCTTCCTTGACTATACCCATTCTGTAATTAGCTCATCCCTCTTAAGGATGATACAGATTTTAAATATTGGAGTACTCCTATAATCCTAGCACTCAGGAAGCTGAGTTGGAGGCTCATGAGTTCAAGGTCAACCTGGGCTACTTAGCAAGACCCTGTTTTATGAAAAATGTTAAAGTTAAAAAAAACTGAAAACATTTTACATGGTGCTGATCTGTGCTTTCATTCCAATGGAGAAACAAATGAGGTGTATTACTGTGTTGTTGACGGTGAAAATATCTTACCTTTCTAAATATGGCTCTGTTTTGGCACAATCTTTGTTATCAAGTGATGATACCATAAAGATGGAAAAACTGTGTACATGACAACTTACCTTTGTATGAACAGTAGGCAAATTTAATGTGGGAAACCTTAAATTGTCTTTTTTAAAAAAAACTCTTGCAGTGTCCTGAGGCAGATTGCTCTTTTAGTGCACATGAGAAGATTGTACAGTTCCACTGGAGAAATGTAAGTTTTTATGTTTTTTTAAAACTTTTTTTGATACATGCCCTTCTTATTTTATTGATGTATTACCTTCACAATTCTTCATTTGTGCATACAAATAGCACTAATGGAGTGCTTTGTAAGGGAGTTTCACATCTTACTTAATCTTGTCCTCATAAAGAACTATGCCAGGTATGTCAATAGCTCCATTTAATAGTTTAAAAACAAATGATTTGTCTAAGGTATCAAGATTGATTTTTTCACTGGAGTTTCTTGACTCTAAATTCTGTGTTTCGCTACTTGAAATTGTCATGTTTACTCAGTGCTTTAGCTTTCACCCTCAAATTTGACTGTAAGTCACTCATTTCAGTATTCACTGTAAGTCAGAAAAAATAATTTAGTCATTTCCTATATCTAAAATTAGGTTTCTCCTATTCCCTGATCAGTAGCATTAAGCTAAATACATGAGAAATCACTCCTTTTCCTTTAAAGGAACAATCATAATATGCTTGGAAAATACGGGCGTCTTAGTCTAAAATTCTTTTTCTGCTTGTAAACTTCTTGTTGGCTTCAAAGTCATCCACATAATCTAGAGCATACACTATACTTCCTGATGTTCAGTAGGCTTTTTCCCCTAGATGCATGCTCCTGGGATGAAGAAGATCAAGTTAGACACACCAGAGGAGATTGCAAGGTGGAGAGAAGAAAGAAGAAAGTGAGTAAAGAGCTGAGAGACAGTAACTTTCTTTGTGGCAAATAATGACAGTCTCATCCTATTGTAAAATACCAAAAGGGAAATTTGAAATTGATCTTTTATAATGTTGTGATCATTCAACTGGACATTATTGGTGCTGATTTTTTTTTGTTCTTCAGAATTGGTACATAGTGACATTTAGAAAATTGCTACTTGATTATTTAAAAATACAATTTTATTATTATTGTTGTTGTTATTATGTAGTTGTACAAATTCTGAAAGTCAAGTTATAAGTACAGTCCACCATGGTCAGTGTCAACCCTTTCACTACTCTCCCTCATTTTCTTCCTCCTGTCCCTACCATCAAATTACGTAGTTCATTCTTCACATAATGTACATTGATATAATGACTACATTTGCTCACTCTTCCTCTCTCCACTCCTGTGAACCCCCCTTTTCCCAACACCCCAAAAACATGTTTCTACTTCCTATTATTAGTTTTGATAAACAATACTTTATTCAGGGAAGTTAGGCCTTTGGATACCTTTCAAGTCTAACCACCTTTAGTCAGTTTGTGTGTAAATACATTGAGCCCTGTATATGTTATTATGCATTAAAAAGATAATTTTTATTGGAGGAAGTTCTATGGTACTATGGAACAGGACTGTAAGCTGCATGGCAGGGAGCATTGAGTGTAGCTTTTGGGAGAGTTAATAGGAACTCTTATTTAAATGACATCTATTGTAATGCTATTATATTTTATTTTTTGAGGGGAGCTAGTATATGCTGCTCACTTGACGTTTAGTGACTGACACAGTAATGGGTTAGGTAATGTTATTTAAAAATGTATTGTTTACCTAGGTCTGGTGGCTCATGTCTACATAATCCTAGCTACTCAGGAAGCTGAGATCTCTGAGTATCATGGTTGTAATCTAGCTGGGTAGAAAAATCCATGAGACTTTATCTCCAGTTAACCAGTAAGGAAAAAAACAAAACAAACTGGAAGAGTACTAGCCTTGAACACAAAAGCTCGGGGACCAGTGCCCAGGCCCAGAGATCAAGTCCCGGGACGGGCCAGAAAATATAATTGTTTACTATATATTCATTCATTTTATTTTTGACACAAAATTGTTAAAAGACTGTTATATGCTGGTCATATAACAAATTCTGTTCCCTATAGAGCAGTGAACAAGATTGTAGCAGTCACCTGGCTTATTACTATCTTCTTATTCTTCATTTCTCCTATTACAGCCTTACCAGAGTGCCTGTCTGTAACAAAAAGAACGTGTACCTTTCTTCACTGAGAAAATCTTGCTAAGAAAAGAAAATGTCAACTGAGCTAACTGTTGTTAGCGATAATTGGTTTAAACTCTGGTTCAAGTATGTGGATTATCTGCCAGTCCCTGAATCAAATTTAACCTTTTCTATAAATACATAGCTTTTTAATGCAACCTCAGCATTTTTCATATACGGTAATTGGCATAGACTTAGATGTCTGTGGTTCTGCTGAATTTTGTATAGTATTTAAAATTTACCATGTGAATATCTATATATCTATATATATATTTGTCGATTGAATTACTGGTAAAGAGTGAGTTATGTGAAAAGAAGCCTCAGCCTGGACAATGATAAGGATGGCTGTAGGTTCCAACTTAGAAGGCAAAGTTTGGACCACAAAATAGTTTAGTGGAAAATTTTCATTCATTGGATACAAAGCTCCTTACTTCCCATGATGCTTCTTTACAGGTCCCTTTTTTTATCCCCTGAAGTCACTATTCCCCAACTATCTTTTTTTTTTTTGCCAGTCGTGGGACCTGAACTCTGGGCCTGTGCAGTGTCCCTCAGCTCTTCAGCTCAAGGCTAGTGCTCTACCACTTGAGCCACAGTGCCACTTCTGGCTTTTTCTGCTTATGTGGTGCTCAGGAATTGAACCCAGGGCCTCATGCATGCAAGGCAAGCACTCTATCATTGAGCTACCTTCCCAGCCCCTCCCCAACTATCTTATTTGTTGTTTTGCTTGCTTTTCATTTTGTTTTTATCTATTGTTTCTATCTTTTTCTTCCTATTTTGCACAGAGGAATAAACACAGAAGAAGAGTTTTAAAAAACTGTCAGTGTTGGTATTGAAGATTGTATCTTAGATGGGATGGAAATGTTCTGTTTACACTATTTTTTCTCTGCTACTTAGCTCTGACTTTGGTCAGTTAGAGGCTGTTGTGGTTCAGTGGTACTAATCCCTTTTTTAACTTTAATTCTTCCTAGAGCACTGACTGGTCAGTAGTCAACAAATTCTGCATAATAACTAAGAAGTTGTATAAATTATTGTGAATCTCCCAAATTTCTAGTTCTCTTAAAGCAATAAGAAAGGTCGGAAATGAGTTTCATTTGCCAGTTGGATTTCTTATCTCTAGTGGGTATGGAAATTAAATAATTACATAAATGGGGAAATAAGACCAGTGTTGAATTAGTGTCTATGTAGCTATTGTGCTCTCCCAGACTCTTCCTCCCTTTCTCTTAGAGGACCTCATCTAGGCTGGAAAGTTAGGGTTTCCTATGACAAAGAAGGATGAGGTAACGGAAGCCAGGAACAGAGGACAGACATTGGCATATTCAAGGAACTGTGAGTGTAGATTAAGACAAGATAAAAGTGTCATAAAGTGGCACTTGGAGTGGAGATAACTTGGAAGAACACAGAATGTGCTTGGTGGCTGATGCTTGTGAGGCTAAAGAAGAAAGGGATTTTTGAGGAGACTTCCAAGTTTCTTTCTAAGCCCTTCAGTGAAAGGTGGTACCTGAGATAGGGAACTCTGGAGGAGACAGGATTGTGAGGTGCTGATTTTGGACACTTGAGTATGACAAGATCCTGAAACATCTATTAAAGACTGACCTGCGTGTAGATTTTTTTTTTTAACATCATGATAACTACAAATGTGGCAAAGAGTGAAAAGAGATTTAATGCTAAGCATTGCATCTTGAGCCTATGCTCCTTTAACTCTATTGAAAGGCCTACTAGAGCATAAAAAGCAACAATGTGGCGAGGGGGGAGCCAGAAAGGAGGAAGAAATGGGACTTTGGTGTATCATAGAAGCTACTGAAGAGGAAGGAAGAAGGTTGGCAGTGTGGATTGCTATGGAACGGTCAAATAAAACAAGACCCAAAGGACTGGCTTTGTGAAATACGTAGTGCTTCCTTGATGTGGATTCCAGGTGATTCCTTAGCCTTTAGCCTTTGTCCTCAAGTTTTTTTTTTTTTTTTCCATATCTCGCTATTGCTTTCTTCAATCAGTCTATGGCACATTAGATGCTGCAGTGGAGTATGTGTACTTTGAATCCGTTGAGTACCTTTTTACCTTCCCTTTTCCAGAGTCCCTCACTATGCAGTTTTAGCCTTTTAATTTCCTGGCTATCCTCTAGATTGTCAAGTTGGACATAAGTTCTCATCCATCTATCCAGCTCTCACTGTCACTTCCAACTGGTCTGGACCAGTTAAGGCTTTCCATTCCTTAACTCTTTAACCTCTTTGATGTCAACCGCCTCTGTCACTCTCCCTGACTTGGCTCACTTCAGCCACTCTTGTCAGTATCTCAGCTTACCCACTTGGCCAAGTCTTAGTTCTGGCTCAGTTGCTAGGTCCTGTTCCAGAAAACCACACCATTGATAAGTACCCTGCAAGTGAATATTCAGCAGTGTGATTTGACCTCAGGAATTGACTTGGCTAATGAGAAGCTTAGGCTTATTCTTTGTATTCATTGTTTTGTGGTAGAAAATCGAGTACTTACTTGTTACACAGATGAGTGTGTAGTGTAAAATTTAAAAATAAATTTAAGCTGATTTTCTCTTAGCTAGCCAAAATGCTAATTAAAACAAAGTTCTTTAAAACTGGTAATATTCAGTAGTGTGAGCTAAACTTCGCTATAACACACAAGATACTGTAACAGAGTATATGCTCTTAAACGTTCAACATCTTTTTACCTCCAGATTTCTGGTGTTTTTCACCTCAGTGCAGGGTGAGTCTCTAACTTTCAAGGCCATCCATGACAGTGGTTATTTCAGCATGTTTTACTTATAGGAGCTTTTGGTCCTTGCCAGACTTGTTATTTATGATAACTCATACTTCTAGAAAATCTTAACATTTTCATCTTCAAATTCTACTCCTTCTTCTTTGCCCAGCAGAAATCTTGCTGTCTTTGGGGATGCATTTCTTCATCTCGCTAGAAGAATGTCTCCCATATTTTTGAATACTATATCTCTCCTCTGCTTAGCATAGATGTCTTTTATTGGTCTATCATTTTTTTCATTTGTTTTTATTCTGGAATAAATTGTCAGCCTTGAAGGTAATAAGACCATCTTTTACATGGTTGCTTATATACTGTTGTGTCATAGATATGTGGGAGGCTTATAAATGTTAATATATGTAAATAGTTGAATTATTATTATTATTTTATTTTTATTTTTGCTGCTCCTTGAGCTTGAATTCAGGTGCTGGGTGCTGTCCCTGAGCCTCTTTGTGCTTCAGTCTAGCACTCTACCACTTGAGCCACAGAGCTACTTCTGGCTTTTTCTGAGTAGTTTATTGAGATAAGACTCTCACGGACTCCTGCTCAGGCTGGTTTCAAATCATGATCCTTAGATCTCAGCTTCCTGAGTAGCTAGGATTACAGGCCTGAGCCATTGGTACTCAGTAACTACTGTAATTTTTCTTTTTAACATCAAAAGTCTCCTGATACAGAACAGACTACTGAGACAAACAAAATTGATGTCTATTTGAAAGCATTGTTTTCTGAAGTAACATTTTCCTGTGTGAAGGTGAACTCTGCTTTCCATGGTTCTGTGCAACAAGTAGTTAAAAGGAAATATTTCTCCTAGCTTAAAAAATTTAAGCAGTATTATTACTGTGTGTGTTTATATAAAAACTCCTGATAGAAGATACATTTGATTTTCTGTTAGTAAGAAATATCAACTTTTGAATGTATATTAGTGAAAATTATGATATCCTTTAATAACTTTTTGGTGTTAATTTAGATTGAAAATTGGAAGTAAATGTTTTGTATTTTTAGCTGTATTTTTTTTTTGTCTTTTCTTTTTTGGTACTGGGGATCGAACCCAGGACGCTGCACTTGCTAGGCAAGCGCTTTGCCACTGAGCTACATCCCAGCCCTGTTTTGTATTTTTAAAAGCAAACTTTTTTTGTCTATGGCTAAGGTCATGAAAACTAGACAAGAATAGATTTGGGAGGCAGAAGCAGAAGCCAGTGGCCAGAAAAGTTAGCAAGATCTGCCCAATTAAAACAAAATTCCCGGCTGGGAATGTGGCTCAGTGCATGCATGAAGCCCTGGGTTCTATTCTTCAGCACCACATAAGCAGAAAAAGCCAGAAATGGTGCTGTGGCTCAAGTGGTAGAGTGCTCTAGCCTTGAGCAGAAGAGCTCAGGGATCGTGCCGAGGCCCAGAGTTCAGGCCCCATTACCGACCAAAGAAAAAGCAACAAAATTCCCCCAGCCTTTGCAAACTGTAAAACTTTCTTTTAACAACCGACCAAAAACAAAACAAGTAGGAGGTACAAATGCTATATTGGCATTGAGGAAAATGTAGTAGAGGTTGGTTTCTATAGACTGCCTTTCAGAAAGTAGACCATACTTCACAGTATGACCACTAGGCGGCATGGTTTTGTAATATTTTTCAGAATTCACTTAGTTCAGGAAATCCCTTTGATTTGTATCCCAAATTCATTCAAACTAAAGAACAGAGGCTGCCTCCTCTTTAATAATGCAACATCTTTTTGAAGTTCAGAAAGACTTGAAAAATAGTGGCATAGCTGTGTTGAAGCAGTTGTGTTTTGGTGAGAATAAAAAGGGATTGTAGTTACAGAAGATTGGCCTAGAAGAAAAGTCAATAAATGGGTAATCATTTGAGAATGAGGAGCAAATCACAGTAGGATGGAATGTGTGGAGATAATGGTTGGCACAGTTTTGTTGTACTTAAGGGTAGTCACTTAAGGCATTGTTAGCTAGAGGGGATAAGAAATGAAGAAGAGAAAAAGGTTTGGTGTCAGGACTTTTCCCGCATGATAGAGGAAAGATAGAAAGAAGTATGGGGAGGAAAGTGATGTTAGATCAAAATACAGAGAAGCATGCTGTGAAATATCCCCTGTTAGAAGTCTTAACATCCATTCTCTAACAGGAAATATTGAGGTAAGTTATATCTGTACATAATTATGCAATATAAGATATAACTTGAAGTTTTTCTCTAGTAGTCTTATTATTTCAAAGAGTATTTTATTAGCCTGAACTATATGCTCTTTATTCTTCCTCACACATTATTTTAATTTTTTAGTTGCAAGCCTTAACTATATAAGGAGGGATTTCACTATGATATTCCCAGGCAGGTATACAATGTATATACCCCTGCTGTGGTCTTCCCCCCTTCCTAATACAGTTTCAACAGATTTCATTGTTTCATTTTTATACATATTGACAATCTATTTTGACCATATTCATACTCTTTCACCCAAAGATAAAGTGACTCTGTTTCCAAGGGTTTTTGTGTTTTGTATGTGCCAGTACTGTGGCTTGAACTTGGTCTCACAATCTCTCTTGGCTTTCTTGCTCGCTGTTGTCTTTCTGCCACTCAAGGCGCTTCTCCTTTTCCTTACTCTTACATCTCAGTTTTATGTTGGTGAAGAGGGCTCCTGATGATAGGTGTGTATATAAATAGGTCTGGTTTTTTGATTCCCTTTCTGAAGCAGAATTCTGTTTTCTAGTTTATTTATTTTTCTCTATTTTTTAGTCTCCAGGTTCTGTATAAATGATAATAATATAAATTTTGGAAGAGGATTTGACTGATTTCAAAGCTGAAACTTAAAATCTTGCAATTTTGGAAGGAAAATTAAGAGATTTCTTACCTGCAGGAGCATGATCATTTGCTATTTTTTTTTAAAAAAAGACTTCTTCCAAAGGACTTTCTTCAAGACTTTCGTGTGTTATTTAGAAAATCCCTTTATATGTTGCCTAAAATCCATTTGCTATTAAAAAATGTTTAAATCCTTTATATTGAAAAACACATATGTAATATCTGCCTACTTATATATGATAAATTAAAGTCAAACATTGTGAAATATCAAATCATATTGTTTAATCTGTGGTTCACCATGTTAATAGATTGCAAGATTCAGAACAATAATAGTAAAAAAAACTGTTAGAATGGACATGTAAGCTTGAGATTGTGAAGGAACCTGAGTGCCTCTTTACGTTCCATGCCCACCGCTGTGAGGCTGGCTAAAATGATTACTTCTTTTGTCATCATTTCTACTTCCACATGTTCTGTCTTTAGACTGAGAACAGCTGGCTACCATCTTTCCTTTAAGACTTATTGTCACTTCTCCTCCTCTTTAAGAGGCTGCAAATAGTTCTTTCATCTTTATTCAGAGGTTTTATTTTTCACCCTTTTAATCATCTTTGAGACTCTTCTGAATCCCTTCCAAGTATTTTCCTTGTCATTTCATTTCCATCACATTGACACAGTACTCTGAGAATATCTGGCCACTTTGAGTATCACAAAGCTTTTCACACTTGTACTAGAGTCAGAGTCCACTTCATACAACCTTAGATTATATTTGTTTTTAGAAGCATAGCTGTATGTTATTGGCCAGCTATCAGACTTTTTTTTTTATCTTGTATGACCTTGATCCTTTCCTTTTAGGTTTATTTGTAGCTTGAACATTCATCATCTTTTGTTTATAGAGGTGGTTTTTCTTGGCTGGGTATATTGCCTTTCACTGTCCTTATTGAAATTCATTGCCTTTTTCCTGATTACTTCACCACTACCCAATGTCATTTCCTTTCTTCTTTTCCAGATTGGCTAACTCATGGGCTTCATATTGTCTGTGCTATTCAAGCTAGTGATGTAGTTTATTGTTTTTGTTTTAGAGGTGAATCTGGAGAAGTATCCTAGAAACAATGGCAGAACACAGTTTGTTAATGTTTCTCAAACTTTCCTCTGATGACTAGTCAGGCTGAATAGTGAGACTGGTGTTCTCTCCTTTCATGTTTTACCTCCAGAGGTTGATCTCTCTTATCAGAGTTTAGGGCCTGCATCTCCTTACATCTGTGCTACAAAACAAAGAAAGCAATTTGTATTGCACATTACCATCAGATTTAATCTTTTTTTTTTTTTTTTTGCCTGTCATGGGGCTTGAATTCGGGGCCTGGGTACTGTATATGAGCTTCTTTTGGCTCTACCACTTGAGCCACAAAGCTCCTTCAGACTTTTTTTTTCTTCTGTTTATGTGGTACTGAGGAATCGAACCCGAGGCTTCATGCATGCTAGGCAAGCTCTACCCCTAGCCACATTCCCAGCCCCAGATTTAATCTTAATCATAGTCTTGTACATGTCTCTCTGCTTATAACTTTTTATGGCTTCCCTTTACCTGCTGTATTATATACAAACTTTCTCAGATGAGAAAGTATCTCACAAGGCACATTTTGGCCAGAACCTCTCTTTCTGTGCCATCGTCTATAAATGTATTGTATTTCATACATAATTACAAATATGTGTGAATATCACACTTTCTGTGGTCTTGGTTTGTTTGCATTATTTTTTCTATTTACATCACTGAAGCTTGTTTTCTATATTAATAAGTCAAATCAAGACCAATGTCCTTCATGTTTCTTTCTTTCTGGATTTTTCCATTTTGATAATCTTCCTTTTCTACCCACCCCAACTCTATACTCTTGAGTATTTATATTGTTAATATTTTTGTTCTAGTTATAGCTGTTTATCTGCTTTTCTTGCCCTTCCTGGTATATCATATTTTGAGAACTATCTCGGTGACTTTGAGTAAACCCAGCATGCATTTGCAAAAGTTACTCAATAGACTTGTTATTTCTTAAAGTATGTTAGGGTACTTGCCAACTAGATTCTATCGGTTTGAACATATTATATGACATATTTTATTTCAATTCTAACATAATCTGATTTGGTAAAGCTTATCTGTTGTAAACTAGTAGCACTTTATAATGAGGTAATATTGGTTTTTTAACAAAAATTGCTAAATTTAGTTACTAGATTGTTAGCAACTATTAGTTGCTAGGTAGCTTAAAGCTTTACACAAAAAACTCTTTTATAATTAACTTCCATTATTTTCTAGAAACTACCCAACTCTGTCCAATATTGAAAGGAAGAAAAAGCTAAAACTTGAGAAGGAGAAGAGAGGAGAAGTATTAACGACAACACAGTATGGGTAAGTTTTATAAAACTTCACTCTCAAGGTGTGATGTAATTGACAATACTTTTATGAGTAAGTAAAGGAACAGAAACCAAGGACTTAAAGTTTCTTTCTTTTTTCTTTTTCTTTTGTGTTAGTCCTGGGGCTTGAACTCAGGGCCTGGCCACTGTCCCTGAGCTTCTTTTCTCAAGGCTGGCACTTTACCACTTGAGCCACAGAGCCACTTCTAGCTTTTTCTGTTTATGTGGTAATGAGCAATAGAACCCAGGGCTTTATGCATGCTATGCAAACACTATGACTAAACCACATTCCCAGCCCTTACCATTTCTTCATTCTCAGTTCTGAATCCTTTGCATCTGTAACATTTTCACTTTAAAGAAAGTTTAATTGTAGCTTAAAATGAGTATTATCTTGTATTCATAGGAGTTCTTTTTTTTTTTAAGATAAAGTTCCTTGAACCTTTGTCTCTCAGATGAATTGTCTCCTCTTTGCAGAGGTTTTCAGTCTGTATAGCACATGGCTGAGACTTTTTTCCCTCATTTTCTGACACTATTCTGCATCTTGCTTTCTTCAATACTGAAAATTTGACTTGGTGATTGCCCCATATTGTAATCTACAATAATCCCCATGCTTTACAGATGTGTAAGAAACTGAAGGATGGACTGTGGTATTTTTTTGTTTTCTTTTTCAACCAGTTTCCCACACAGACATTTAAGTTCTTACCAGCCTTTTACTGGTACCAAGTTGCTATTACATAATGTATTTCATAAAAGTGTCCTGAGGATTCCTAGAAGTAGATCTGCTGAGGTTAAATATTATATCCTTCCTTCCTTCCTTCCTTTTTTCCTTCCTGTCTTGTCCTGTCTGTCTGTCTTTTTTGGCTAGTCTTGGGGCTTGGACTCCTGAGCTTTTGCTCAAGGCTAGCACTCTACCACTTGAGCCACAGCGCCACTTCTAGCCACTAAACCTCATTCCCAGTCCAGTTAAATGCACACACAAAACACACACACACACACACACACACATATATATTTCATATGCACACACATTCCTTTACACATTGCATGGCCTCTATATCATTTATAGTGTTTTTACCTCACCAAGTTCTCTTAAGCCATCTCCTGGTCAGTGTCTAACCATGAAGTTCTTTTTCTAATTTCTATCATCACAGATATATAATGTATGTTCTTAGAATTATACTAATTATGATTTACAGTGATTTCAGTGGCTCAAAATTCTTTTTGTGTTTTATCTGTTACATATAGCTGTTAATAGTTTCATTTTTACTGTTGTATAGAAGTCAATTATGAAAATATATATCTTTTTCTCTAGATAGACATCTAGGTTCTTTCCAGTTTGGACAATTATGAATAAAACTGCTATGAATATTGGTGTATGTACATGTGCCAAGGCTTGAACTCAGAGCCTCACTCTCTTGCTTAGCCTCTTGTTCATGGCTGGTGCTCTACCAGTTGCACCATTTCTTTAGTCCAGTTAGCTCTTTTGCTGCTTAACTAGAGAGTTTCAGAGTTTTCTGGCTTCAAACTATGATCATCAGATCTGAGTCTCTTAGCTAATATTGCAGATGTGAGCCATTGATGTTCAGCTTATGAACACTGTTTTTTGTGGGAATTAGTACTCATTTTCATTGATACATATAGAGAGTTATATAGAGAGAGCAGATCATAGGGTATCCATGTTTAGCTTTAATAGGTTTAACAATAAAACCATTTACATTTACCAAAAGTAGTTTGAACCAATTTATGCTTCTTGTTTTGTCTGTGTCTTGGTCTTTGTTTGGTATTGTTATACTGCTCTCCCATGTTATATCATTTTCCTTCTGACTAATGATGTTGAACATCTTGTCATGTGGATATTCTCTTGTGAAGTATCAGTTTAAGCCTTGGACTATTATTTTGTGTTGTGTTGTCTTGTATTTTGCAGTACTGGGGTTTGAGGTTAAGGCCTCATGCTTGCTAAGCATGTACTCTTATCCCTGAGCTATACCTCCACTTTGAGTCTTTGCCTAGTTTTTAATTGAGGTTGCTTTTTCTTGACTTGTAGGAGCTGTTTATTAGATACACTTTTTTCTTTGGAGTATATGTATTACTGATACAACAGTCTTTGTCTTGCCTTTCTACTCTCTTAATGAATGTCCTTTGTTTTCATACAAGAGTGAGTAATTTTTCAGACACATCTGTGTTAGGTACATCTGTGGTTCTTGATAAGGCTCAGTGCTATTGGGGACTGGTTGGCTGATAGGCTAGGATAGATAGGCAGATTCTATTTTGGTGCTCTCTATTCTTTTGTATAGAAAATTGGGAGTGTATACGTATTTTGTGTATATAGCAGTATGTGTACATGTGTGCATATATATATATACACATATTTTTGTATGCTTGTATAAATATATGAATATGTGATTCTTTTGGCATCAAATTCTTTAAAAATTATAGCAAGCCCTTGCATTGTAGATTTAAACTGATCTTGTCAATTTAACTAATTATTACGAAAATAAGATAATACCTTTCACTTACTAAGGGCTCAGTCTCAGAGTTATAGTACCCTAAATGCAAAGCATTTTTTTTGTGTGTGTCAGTTCTGGGCTGATGCTCTAGCACTTGAACCATAGCTCCACTTCCAAAAGCACTTCATTTTATTTAATTCTTTCTGTCCGCATGATTCTCATTCTGACAGACAGGAGTAACAATAAAAGATATTAATATTGTCTAAGAGGGATGGTGAGTAAGGAGCAAAATTGAAATTTAGGCTCAGATTTCTAATTCTTTGTACTTCCACTATTAAAGAATTTTGCCTGATAAAGGGCAAATAGTTTTTCTTTGAGAAATTTAGTCCCTCTAAAAAGATACTTTGTATTGTTTCCTGAGAAATCCTTCATAAATGCTTTTTGAATAATACCATGTTTTTCTTAAACATAAAGTTAGAAGATGCTCACATAAATATTTGTTTTCTTTCTAAATGAAGTCGATGCAGTTGCAAGAAGCACACTGCACCTGAGCTGGCTGTGGGGCTGGGCAGAGAGCAGTCCCTGTCTAATCCACTTTAAAGTTCAGTGGGAAGCTCAAATAAAGTGGCATATTTTTGGGGGGGGGGTTCGGTTGTTGGGCCTGAACTCTGGGCCTGGGCTCTGTCCCTCAGCTCTTCAGCTCAAGGCTAGCACTCTACCACTTGAGACACAGTGCCACTTCCAGCTTTTTTTTTTCTTCTGCTTATGTGGTGCTGAGGAATCGAACCCAGGGCCTCATGCATGCAAGGCAAGCGCTCTACCACTGAGCCACCTTCCCAGCTTTCAAGAAATTTTATGTCAGGGTAATTGATGTACTTGAGTTAGCAGTAACTGAAATGAATTCAAATGATTTAAAAATTGAGAAATTAC